GGACTTTTCTGCCTGACCTAATTATTCTCCCTCGCTGGTTAAGGACGAGATAACATTTATCTCCCATTTAAAAAGCTCTCCGTCCGTCTGCCTTTGGATGTAGCTTTGGAGCCACACAGTCAATACTCAGTGCAGTTAACTGGCTTTGGTTCACTCTCAGGTTGTTGGATCCATGAGAGGTAATTTGGACTTTGAGCAGAACATCTTTTGGCTCGATTGAACAGCACAATCTCATTATCTCAGAACAACATAAAAAAAAAGGCTTTTACTCTCCCTTCTCAGGCCCTGTGTAGCTGGCTGCAACTAAAATAATGAAGGCTCTTTTCTTTGCGGATTTAACGATAACACACACGACTTCAACCTATATAGTACACTGTTAAAAGTGTGCAGGAGGACAAGACATGAAGTGTAGAAAAGACAGAGTGGGATACAAGCACTCCCACTCAGTTGATGCTTGCAGACAAGACACAGAAATAGCCAGGGCACAGCTCAAAGATCAACTCATTCACATCCAATTAGACTTGAAAGCTGAAGGTAATATTCAACATGACTTCCAGTCCACCCCTGAATAAAAACATTAGACGTTCAGACTGAAGATCTACTGAGGCAAAATGATTTAACACGATTCATCTCAGAAGGGAGGTACGAATACAGCGTGAGGAAGGACTCGTCATTTTCCTGGATAATAGAATTGTCTCATCTGCTGCTGCTGAGCAAACACAACCTTCCTCTTTGAGTAGCCCTGCCAGCTCATCGTCAGTCCAGCCCGCATCAATCAGATGAAACAGGATTAATCATTTACATAACTCTTCTTTCAGCTGATGCTAGTCTATGTGGCAGTCCTATAAATATCGATTTCCCACATTGCTCAAAAGAAAAATCCACCTACAGTGCACAGACAGGTATAATCCCTCGCGATTATCAGCTGTTGTGGCATTTCCATTGTCCCAGGACAAACATCTGTCTCATAGAGCTTTTATAGCCATGGATTTAGTAGGAGAGATTACTGTGTATTTGAAGTGCATCAACCCTTACATAGACTAAATGTGTTCCGAGTTCAGTTTTTAGTGGAAATTAAAGAGACAGCACCTAAGTGCAATTTCTCACCACCGCGACTATTGATTACATTTTTTTTGGACTTACAAATAAAACAATATCTACTGTCTTTAAGCAAAAACGTTTTCATTTGTGTTGTTTAGTCCAATTACTTCAGCGTTCTACCTTTATGTGATTGATAGAGAATATTATGTATAAATATAATAAAATGCATCTTTGTCTAAGTGTTTTTAATGGCTGAGAGATCTCATGCAGACAAGGTAGCAATACACAGTCAGGCAGATGAACTGACATATGGACAGGAGCAGTAATCTTTCAGTCAGCTTCAGCAAACTGAAGCAATAAATAGTTCTTTAATTCCCTTCGACATCATGATAAAGTGCTTATATAATCTAAGAGCTACAGTTCATAATCTTTGGTCTAGTCATTTGCCACCCGCCTCGCACTGCAGGGGCAACCATCACAAACTCATTTGAAGACAGCATATTACATATGAACATCCTGTGTCAGCACGCACTGACTGACATAGAAATGGGCAGGCAGACAGACGGGCACTGACCGACTTTGCCGAAACGTCATTCGTGCCATTAAAATCTGCGGAGACGCACATTTATGCAGACATGCTGCTCAGGATGGAGTCATTCTTATCTGTTCGGGCTGATTAAGTCAGAGTAAGGTCTTGGCTACTTGAGGTCTGAAGTGTGATTATGCGCTCTGGCAGTACTACATCCACGCTTTTAATCATACCTACCCTGATACAGGATGGCAGGCCTAGAGTTGCAGTGGCTTGTGCAAACAGACACTGACTGCATTTTTAACAAATCAGACCAGACCATACAAACACACCTGCTGCCACCCTAGCTTAAGTCAACAAAGTCACAACAGCTAAATAGAGTCAGACAGTCCAGGATGTAGAAGTACTGAACATCCTCTAACATTTGTGGCACAGCAAGAACCTCTTATGGTACCCCAGCTCAGTGCAGCTTGGTTCAGACTATTTTGGGTGCTTAAAACAGACACCACTTTATATCCAGGCTCAGATTATCCCAGAGCAGGATTACTAAAGTTAGCTGGATCTGAAAAATAAAAATAAAAAAAAAAAAATCCAGAAATAAATGTTATTTAGTATGTGTCTTTTTTTTTAGTTTTCTGTTTATTGGAACAGGCTGTTTCTTGAACCAAATAGCTCCAAAACAACATTTAAAAGCTTTATCTCATTTGTTCATATGTGGGGTTTTTTTTTTTAATGATCATGTAGTACATTTCGGTGTTTGCTGCACTGGAACAGCTTGGGAACAATTCTTTGCAAACAGCGAGTGCTGTTCACTTACTTTGCAGTGGCATCTTGGCAGGTTATCTACAGCCAGGGCTTTTTATTCATTTGAATAAGTGTGTTCCTACTAGGTAGTGTGCCAGCACACTGGGGCTTGGTCCGTATCTACTACAGCCATATGCCGATTCCCCTCCAAGTCTGCAACAGTGCATCCTGTCACGGTGGAAACAGGATGGCATTCTCACAAATTGTTTTGGCTTCAGCGGAGGCAGGAAAGATGGACAAGGAGAACCAATCCAAACATAGCTTGACTGAAAGAGCTGCACTATAAACCCCAAACCCCACTCTCTGATCTATAATGGACTAAATAAATAAATACTGTTCTTAAGACTGACAGTCTAATGGTGTGGTAGAGAGGAAGGAGCAGTGTGGGTGCACACACTGCTGTTTAACTGTCACGATTCATGCACACAAATGTCTCTCCTTTGCGCACACACACACAAACAGACCTGCAGAAGTGTGCAGTTAAAAAGGAAAATAACCGAATGAATAAATCAGGATTCTCTGAGCTTGTGTCTCACATTTAAGCTGTTGGTACCAGTGGACAAAGGCTGGCATTTGTGCGTTAGTTCTGCATGAATGCACACACCTACATAGCATCAGAAGGCATGCATGCTAGGTTAAGTTGTGGCTCTACAAAGTGCATAGATATTTCTTGTTATGCACATTGAGTTTATATGCAACAAAATGTGCCATTTATTTATTTATTTTATTCTAAAATTTGCACATAATACATGTGCATGGAGCCAGGAGAGGCTTCATGCCGTTTCTCTAAACGAAACAGCTCTGAAACATGAGCACATACACATAAGACAGCATGTCTACAACAGCACCAAGGGGTGATGCATCAAAGGTTAAGCCTTTGCCATTAACTTAATAAAGCAATTAACGATGCATGTGTCACTACACACAAGCAAGAAGCGCACACATACACACAGAGAGGGAGAGAGATAAAAACGAGAGCAGTATTCAGTTGTTTAAAAAAAAAAAAAAAAAAGCAGTAGTTGCTTTGTGGCTGTTGTGACAAACAGAAATGGCCTGCCTGACCTGAAAAATGTGAACACGGACGGCACTCCTGTCTGTGTCTATCCAATCACTACACAGCCGTGAGCATTTGCTCCCCACCAGTGCAAAAATTAGCCCATCCATCGTGCCTCACCGTATGTATCATTGTACGGCGGGACCGTGACATCCTGCAGAGTCTCCGTCCAGCCCTCCTCCTCTGCCTGACTACGGGATAGGGAGCCGGGAGGTCCTGCTGCGCTGCCACCTCCTGTCCCCCCGCTGTGTCCACTCTCCTTATCGCCTCGTTTCTGGTGGTGATGGTGGTGGTGGTGCTGCTGCGGTGTCTGTTGCTGCTGCTGCTGCTGATCCTCCTCACCTACCTCGGCTATGTAGTTATCAGAGTCGGAGTCTCCGGAGGTGCTGTAGAAGGGATTGTCGCTGCTGTCGTCCCCGGACTCGCCGAACACGTCGTCGGATATCTGCAGGCTCTCGTACCGGGAGCGGGCCGCTTCCAGGAGAGACAGCGCCTTTCGCCCGCACTCCGCCATCTCTCTCTCTGTAGTGATGCTCCTCTCTCCTCCCCCCCTTTCTCTTTCTTCCACTCTCTTTCTCACCCTTTCACTACCTCCTCAGTGGCGTGCAAGTGGTCACGATCTTGCAGGAGCAGGAGACGTGTTTGCCTTCAGTGTGGCGATCACACCCTCCCCTGTGTTTGGTATGAATTATGATCCACCTGCCGTCCCGGCTCGGATGCGGAGCCCGGTGGTCAGCAGAGTGTAGATCCGGTGGCAGCTGTCCGCTTCAAGGGTACTGGAATATTTCCGCCCCCTTGCTCTGCCCACAGCGCTGCTCACTGGGCAAAATCATCAATAGTTTTGGCTCAGCATCCGGGTTGAGAGACCAGCGAGTTATTTATCCACTCCGAGGAATAGCGAGAGTAGTGGCTGGCACTGAATCACCTGACGCCGTAGCGCTGCACCGCCAGCCAATAAGATTTCACTTTCTAAAGCAAACTCGGACAGGAGCGGTGCGGCTGATGGCAGCTGCTAAAGCTGAGGTGAAGGAAGATTATGATGACTAACGATAATACAGTGCTAGAATAATAATGATGGACGCAGAAAATGACAACGAGGAAAATTAAAATTCAAAATTATTTTATTAGATTATAGATATAATAAAATTACAACTATCATTTATTAATTTATTTTGATATTTAGAAGCATTTTTAGCGAAAACAGACTCATATTTTGGCCATCGCGAATTATTAATTAAACAAGACCTCAATATATGGATTAAAATAGATTTTTCTTTTCATATCTACTGCAAAGAAAAGAGAAACACTGTTGATGCTGGAAAGGACTGTCACAGTGAATGCGGATTTAGTTTTAATTATTTTTTTTCTATATACTGCAAATTAACAAAATGGCATTTGGAAATAAAAAATTGAGCACCTAAAAGTTTTGAGCAATTTTATGTGACTACTCTGAAATCCAAAATTATTAGTAACAAACCATTTTATTTATTTAAATATTAAAATATTTAGGTTATATTCAACAGCGACCCCTGCGGTCTCAATGCACTGTGGTCACATTGCATGGGGCCTCTAGGGGGCGCAGGAGTATTATCTTAATCATTGTCTTCTTCGTCGGTGCGCTTGCCATGTTTGCGGAAGCTTGACTGCAGCTAGCTCAAGGCTGGTTGTCATTTCTTTGACTGTAGCTTCAAGTTGTGTTTTCTTATAAAAATGAATCTACCAAAGGGACCGGATTCTCTGTGCTTCGATAAGGATGTTTTTATGAAGGTAAGAGTGTGTAAATGCTGGTTAAAGCGTTACGTTGTCAAACTAGCTAGCATTAGGCTAGCTAAATGTCGATAGTGGACGTTCATTCTGATGCTCCTGTGTCAGTAAAGGTTTACCAGTCAGTAGATATGAATGTTTTTACCGAGCCAGCAGAGTAACCTTAAATAACAGGCAACATGCAGGCGTTTCTGCGTGAAACAGTCGACGCCTGAGGATTGCAGTTTGGGCACTTACCTGACACTTTGTTAGGTACACCTGTCCAAGTGCTTGTTAACTCAGAAATGTAAATATGTAATTAGCCAATCACATGGCAGTAATCCAAAGCGTTTGCTCGTGTGGACGAGGTTTAGACTTGGCTTGTTGAAGTTCAAACCGACCATCAAAAGGAGGGATGAGACTGATCAAAGTGGCTTTAAACGTGGCATTTCCCTACACGACCCTCTATACGGTTCAGAGAGAATGGTGTAAAAATAGAGAAAATATGCAGTGAACAGCTGATCTCTGGGTGAAAATTCCTCGTCGATGTCACAGGAGAATGGCTGATAGAGCTGCAAAAGTAACTAAAATAACCAGATGTTACAACCAAACTATGCAGAAGAGCATCTCTGAATGTACCACACACACCGGTGCCTTTCCTGTTCTTGAAATGAGTGGCATAGCAAGAACAGGAAAGGCACCGATCTTTCCGAATCTATGTTCAGTCTATCACCAGTCAATTAAGGCAGTTCTCAAACCAAAAGGAGGGCCAAGATGTACCTATCAAAGTGACCAGAGTTAATGTGTCGTTGAATGCATGCTGCCTTCTTCCCTTTGTGTCTGCAGGATGACTTTGACGTTGACCAGTTTGTGGCTGAGTGTCGGAAACAGGTCCAGCTGGAAGAACTGAGAGAGGACCTGGAGCTCTACTACAAGCTGTTGAAAACAGCCATGGTGGAGCTCATCAACAAGGACTATGCAGACTTTGTTAACCTCTCTACCAACCTGGTCAGTTGTTATTCATGTTATCTAATGGCAGTAACTGTAATTTTAAATGTGTAAAGTTTAGAAACAGTAGCCAACAGGAGGATGTCCCTTGGTGTAATTTAAAATTTAACATAATTGTGAACTGCCTTGATGAAATGTAGCTAATAAATCAGTCATTATTATTGGTAGGTATTGTTTTATTTATGTAAATAAACAGAATGTATGTCTTGTCAGTTATTAGATCTACTCAATGATTTAATTTGTAAATTAAGTGATGGGAAAAATGGCCAAATCTGTAGAACTAATCAAGCAAACCTTTGCTGGTTCAACTTCGAAAATGTGAGCACTTCATACTTTTCTGTTTCAATAAGGAGAGGCCGTTGGGAACAATGATTTAGTAAGAAAGAGAATTGAATTGGCGTTTAGACTCTAGCCCATCATAGCAGAACAAAATCCTAGCAGTGTACAGGACCCTAACTAGAGGAGAAGATGAAGATGGAGGCTTGGATTGGGCTGTAAGTGATCAGTGTGAGATGGCAATGGGGAGAAGGCGGCTGCCTGAAAGGCAGAAAGATAGAAGAGCAGTGAGGTTTAAAGCACATTGAATGGGGACTGATTGGTGTGGAGATAGCAGGCAAGAAAATGATTGGATTAAAGTAATGATGGCTGTACTGAGTTTGACAGCGTATCAGCCTGAACACCCAAGAAAGCAGGCAGATGAGTGATTACGGATCTTACTTATTGAACTTGCATTCAAGTTTTTAAACTTTTCATGCTTACTAGACTTCAAAACTTTGAGATGAAACTGTAAAACAAATCTTTCTTGGTGTATCTTTTAATGATTATTTTTAACTGGAAAATGTCAAACTGTATCCATCCTTTGAATTTCTGTGGTGCAGAACTTATCCAGAAAGATGAATACTCATTTGTAGTATGTTCATAAATTATTACACTTGTGGTTTAAAAATGCCAAAAGGTATTCAAGCCACCATTGATCAGTCACAGTCCACACAGCGTTATCGTCACAGGCTAAGTGCGCAAAAGTCTGCTGCGTCACAAAGTTGGCAAATTTTGGCAGAGCCAAACATGGGGTTTTCCACTTATAGTTGAGAGGTTTACCAGATAAGGCAAGTGCACTGTTTATTTGCAGTTTTTGCACCCAAATAATTGTTACTGTTCAGTAAAAAATAATTGTTACTGTTCAGTAAGAATTATTATTTGGATAGTTTTGGGAGATCTTTGCAGAGTTTAAGATTATAATAATAAACATTACAAATATTGGTTGTTCTTGATTGCATTTGGCCATTTTTGAGTGCAGCTGGGGCTCTTGTGTCCTTCGCTGGCTTTTCCCATGCTGAATCACAAATTTGTTTTGGACAAAGTTTGACTATAAATTGTCAGCTTGTGGCAAGAAATCATAACAGGAATTTCCATCTTTTCCACTTTTTTTTTTTTTTTTTTTTTTTTCCAGAGCAATGTATTCCGCAAAATATCTGTGACTTACTGTTATTAACAGTTATGAATCTAGTATTTGGTCTGTTAATATGCTTCTGAACAGTTAAACAAATCCTACAGTTTTAATATTCTTAAATAAAGCCTGGGCCTAATCTGACATCTGCTCCTTCATCTTAGGTTGGGATGGACAAAGCACTCAATCAGCTTTCTGTGCCATTAGGACAGTTACGTGAGGAGGTTATGGTACGTTCTTCTCTGAATAAATATACTTCCGACTGTAATTACTTCCTGCCACTGAGTACTTTTCTCTGGTTGCTATTTGTTGCAGAGTCTGCGGTCCTGTGTTAGTGAGGTGATACAGGCGATAGATAACCAGCTGTTGAAGCACGAGGACCTGCAGAAAAAAAAGGTTTGGCTCCTCTTTTTACGGTCAGACTTTATGCTTTGACCAAACTGTATTTTGTGTTAATTTTATGTTAAGCCCATAGCAAGCTCAGTTCTCCCTTTCATTGTCACCATCAATCAGGTGTGTGTGATGAGGCTGATTCAGGTTGTACGATCAGTGGAGAAGATTGAGAAAATCCTTCACTCACAGAGTTCCAAGGAATCCAGCTCTCTGGAGATCAGCAGGTAGAGAGCTGACATGCTAATCTAGTCAATCTGTGTATTACTTGGTAGATTGTTAAATTATATCTGAAATGATTAAGAAAAATTCAAACCAGATCCCAGGCATCACATCAGGAGTTATGTTTTGTTGAGCTTGGTCTTTGCAGGGACATAATGCTATCTTGCGAGTCAGACCATTTTCCATAGATCCTCTTTTTTTATTATTATTTTTTTATTGTGAGGGTTTTTATTTTTCTTTATTCACAGCCCCTTGTTAGCAGGACAGATCCTAGAAAGGATTGCAACAGAGTTCAACCAGCTGCAGTTCCACGCTGTACAGAGCAAAGGCATGCCCCTGCTGGACAAAGTCAGACCTGTAAGTATTAATGAACCAATCACTTAGGGTGTTTGCGGACCTATAATTCATTTACTCTGGTCTGAATCAGTTAATGAGTTTGTAAACTTGTAGCTTTATTCTGTGGTTTGGATATGTTCCGACAGAGAAAAATCAAAGTGAACTCCCAAATGTGTCACTACAACTCATGTGAAAAAGTTCAGTCTGCTCATTGGCCAGATGTGTCTGGGGTGGGAGCATAAAAGTAAAGACAGGAAGAAAGTGTTGTGTGAGAAAATGGAAAATTTACATTCATTTCACAGCTAGTTGCTAGCTCGTGCAGAGGTTTGCACATCTATAGTAACTTTCCACATCAAGAATACAAAGCATGCGTGGCTATCTGTTCATTCTTTAGCTCAAACTTGTAGTACACACCTAGTAGTTGGTCTGGATCGGGGTTAGATCACATTTACCCCCAAAACAAACTGCACTGGGGTTTGTTTGGAACATACTGAGACTAACTCTTTTCAAAGGGTCTCAGTGTTTTTTTTTTTGGGGGGGGGGTTGTTATGTCTGCACCTGAGTATGACTACTGTGTTCACACCTGCACAAAACGAACCGCACCAAGTGGGAATGTCTTCTGCCAGCGTATTGCAGGGATCACGTCTATGCTGCAGCAGTCTCTGGAGGGTCTGCTGATTGAGGGCTTGCAGACATCGAATGTGGACATGGTACGTCACTGCTTGAGGACTTACGCCACCGTAGACAAGACTCGAGATGCTGAGGCCCTGGTAGGACAGGTGCTCGTCAAACCATATATGGACCAGGTAAATATGACACACATACCTCAGCTTTTTGCGTAAATATGTTTTAGATATTATCTAACATGAATGGGAGCATTATTAGTTTATAATAAATATGGCAGAGAAAATTCTGACTTTTTAAAAAGACAGATTTCGATGAAATACTGAAAAAGAGATACAAAATTAATTTAATCCCCTGTCATGTTCTTTCTTTAGGTGATAGTTGAAGAAGTGGTAAAGTCCAGTCCAAGTGGTCTTCAGATGATGTACTCTAGACTTTTGGAGTTTGTTCCACACCACTGTAGACTGCTCAGAGAGGTGACTGGAGGAGCCATATCCAGGTATTAATGTTACGGGCGTATTCATCCAAAGCACATTCAGTGTCACTGCATTTAATATATGAACCAGGTTATGTGATTATCTTTACACCATTTTGGTAGCTATTTTTTTTAGTTAAGTGATGTCATTTCTTGGCCATATGCTTGGGGACAAATAAAAGGACATTTTGGGATAAATTTAAAGTTTAAGATTTGTGTCAAATAGGATATTTTTGTCCTAATTCTGAAAATTTAGGAGAACAATTTTGAAAAGCCAAAGAACAATATATTCTAATAGTTTCACTGAGTAGTGGCTTTCAATTTTTGTACAAAACTGATAATTTCTACTAGTATTACGAACACAAAGTAAGTCAGTGGCTATAATAGTGACTACTGAATAAAGTTTCAAAGCATATTTTAAATGTACCCTTTATTCTCAGTGACAGAGCTGACATAGTGCCAGGTTATGATTTCCTGGTGAACTCTGTTTGGCCAGAGATGGTCAAAGGCATAGAGGAAAGGTTGGCCTACATCTTTAACCCTGGAAACCCCGACATATTCTACGAGGTAAAGCTGCAGTGACACAATTAGACTGTGTATGCATGTGTATGGTCACATAATGCAAGGTTTGATTGTATAATTTTTTCTTGCGTTTCCTTTTCGTTTTATCATCTTTTTAGCGTTACAGTGTAACTATGGAGTTTGTGCAGAGGTTTGAACGACAGTGTAGCTCACAGGCCAGTGTGAAGAGACTGAGAATACACCCTTCATATACAAGCTTCCAGAACAAATGGAACCTGCCTGTCTACTTTCAGTTACGGTGAGTATTACCATAATACACTCAAACACTCTGTGTCTATTTTCCAGAAGAAGTTTGTCATTTTTATAAACATAAAGGGCCTTAACTGTTCAGTCATGTTCACAGTGTTACTTTAAGTATGTTTGTATATTGTATGTTTGTTACCCATAAGCTGAAAATCCAAAAACTTTTTAGGGAATTGGTTGAAGTAACATTTTTTTTTTTAATGTAGAATAAAAATCATACACAACTTTTAGTTATACATTTTTCTAACAATATTGATATTATATAAATAAAGATGTGTACAGCATGTACTTTTGAAAAAAAAATTGAGTCTTTCTTCAAGAACTTAAGAGAAATGTTTGGATTAAAATGGCAACCTGTCAGCAATTTTGGGGGATAATACAAGTTGGCAAATGGTCAGGAAGTTACTAAACATAGTCCATAAACATGCTGCTGGACCTTGGCTGAAAGGTGATTGATCTCTGTGGAAAAATAGAGAAGTTGTTTTTCAACCTCTTCCCACCCCCACAGACTCGCACACTGTAAAGCATACAACACAAATACACACACACATTCATCATTGCACATCAAGAGAAAGATTAGGGTTCATGTCTTTATTTCACAACCACCACGGTTAACCTTTTCTGGAAAGTTGAAAGTTTCCATTACACGTGTTGTTGTTTCACGCTATGAGCACGTACACATCAGAGCTGATGCAAGAAAGAAGCTGATAACAGATTGATTGTCTTCTTCCTTCCCTCTCTGTGTTGCTAATTTTGTTTTTCCAGATACAAGGAAATTGCAGGACGTCTAGAGAATGCTATTAGTGATGGATTGGTGGCAGCACCAGGTGGATTTATTGTATTTTTTTTAAATTGTATTTGAATTTTATCTGTTCCTTATACAGTACTTAGAGTAACTATGTATCTGCTTATGTTCAGCTGGCAGTGCATACCACCTGCAGGTATCTGAGGTGGTGTGGTCCTGCTTAGTGAGATGTTGGTCAGACAATGTCTATCTGTCACCTCTGGCACATCGCTTCTGGAAGCTTACGCTGCAGCTGTACTCAAGATATGCCAAGTTTCTTGATGAGGTAAACTTAAAATATATGAATGATTATTTATTTATGTGATTATTTATTTATTGATTATTTTATTTATTTATGAGATTTAAAAAAAATGCCAAAGAAGCCAAATTAAAAGCCAGTTGTTATAACCTGTTTCTCATCTTGATTGTTGTCTTGTGCAGGTGCTGACTAAGTCTCCGCCCTCTGAGGTGACTAAGGAGCCAACCAGGCCTCTGCCGAGCTCAGCTTCTTCTACATCTAGCAGAACATCACTGGAGGAAGGCGGCAGTGAGAGTGGGAGTCCTGCCTCCCTGTCCACCAAACAGCTGGTTTACATTGCAGCAGACATCCAAAAACTGCAGGAGCAGGTGCTCACAAACAAACTAATTACATTTTTATCTGTGTAGTTCCAACTTGTTTACATTTAATATATTACTGTTTAGCCTGATTTGCAGTTTCTTAAAGGATTTTCCTCTTTAGTTTCCTTTTTTTCATCTCACAATTGGCTTGTCTTTCTTTAGATCCCAGAGTTGTCAGAGATGGTCAGAAAGCGGTTTGAAGCCATTGGATTCAAAAACTTTTCTCTTGTGGAAGGTGACTTACAGTTTAGGTTCACTTCTTATGCAGTATTTCCTATCATTTCTTAAATCTCAGGTTTTTCCACTTCGTGATGTTAGCTCAAGTTGACTGTATGTGCATTAACGAGTGCTCTCCTCTATGTCAGATGCTCTAGCAGACTCCAAGGCTTCCCTGTCAAGCAGCATTCCCTCTCTGAACACTAGGATGACCCAGCATCTGACCGAACGCAGCTGTCGATTCCTGAAGAGTGCCTCAGAGGTTCCACGACTCTACCGCAGAACTAATAAAGTAAGAGAAGTTGCAATTATGTATACAAATGTCTTTATCCAATGTTTTCATAAGGTGCACTCTCACATATCATATCTTAGATGCCGTTGCGTTCAAATGGTTGTTTATGCAGGAAACACCATATGTAAAATTCAAAATCTTATCTTGGAAATGCACAACATATTCAACTCAAAATTAAGCTGAATTAACAACCATGGGTAGATTTTCTGTTTGATATTCAAATCCCAGAAGGCTTTTATTGAAATGAATAACGCTTCAGTATGGGGCTAATTTGATTTATTGATTGTGTGTAAAGTCGTGTAGTCACTGAGCATAAAGTTTCATTATGATTGCAGTTTCATCAAAAAAAAAAAGCAAGAGAAATTAACTGGACTTTTAAATGCTTTGACTTTATTTTTCTATTGAACATGTGTGTTCTTGCATTCATTCACCAACTTGCATGGTAATTTGCTGCAAGCCCTTTCAGCACATCACTGCAGTGCTGCTGGACTTTGCATAACTACATACATCTGAAATAGTCTGTTATTCTGATTAATCAGTCATTTCTGTGGCAATGTTGGCAGACTCCTTTATTATTAGTGATTGATAATTGTAGAGTGAATATCAGAACAATATCTGCCAAGTCTTTATAATCAATGTGATCCAAATCATTGCAAAATGAGTTCCACTTTGTAAACTTGGTCAATATATAAGGCAAAACAATGCTAATCTGAGTTGGTTAAAATATATTAAAAAGAAACTCATTAAATATCTCTAATTAAAGGTTTTTAGACATGTTGCATCTGTGACTGGTTGTTTTTTTGTCTGATATTTGATCCACTATACTTGTAACTATGTACCAACTTACACTGCAATACTCGCACAACAAAGCAAGTGGTTCACAATAAGAGGCCAAGAAAAATAATTCAGTTTATATTAATTTATTTTTTACATTTGGTCAAAACAGTATTAAAATGCTTAATATAAAGCTTGTATATTGATTTATAGTATATAATATCATACTTTGTACCTCCTCTCCATGTAGGATATACCGGTGCGTGCATCAGCGTACATGGATAATGCCTTACGCCCGTTACATCAGTTACTGACTGATTCGACAGGGCTGGTCACCCCTCACACAGCACAAGAGTGGCTGCGAGTTTCACTGTCTGAGTGCACACAGAAGTAAGCATTACACATATCCACCACTAAACCCTGATACAATAATAGATTTGATGACTTAGAAATATGGCCTGTGATGATGTTACAATAATGTTTCTTTATTGCAACAGGGAGAATATTTCTTTCTAAAAGCTGGATTGTTTACATTTTATAAAGATTTTTCCAGCCTCAGCCAGCGAATTAAATTTGTTTCTGCTTTCCCATCTCGTGTTGTGTTCAGGTACTATGAGACCATCTCAGAGGTGCTGAGCTCAGTCAGAAAGATGGAAGAGAGTTTGAAACGCTTGAAACAAGCCAGGAAGGGTGCAGCCGCGACTACAACAGCAGGAGCAAATGGTGGACTAACAGATGATGGCAAGATTCGTCTTCAGCTGGCACTAGATGTGGAATACTTGGGGGAACAGGTGGGTGCTATTCCATGAGTGCACAACCACATGTAGTCCAAGTATGAAGACACATATATGAACATGTGACAAGCAGTGCACATTTATCAGTCAACAAAATATGTTTTTAGAAACTCATGTCATAACTTTATACTGTTGTGTGCCTCAGATTCAGAAGATGGGTCTTCAGCCAACTGACATCTCTATGTTCTCCACTCTGATGGATCTTGTGAAGGAAGCCAGAGAGCTTGCTGAACAAAACCAATAAAACAGACTCTGCAATGACTGAAACACTGATATGCAGCACTTCACATCTTCACATTTCCTTGAGACTTGTGGAGGATAAAACCTGTCCGAGTCATGGGCTGGTAAGAGGTGGAAAATAATGGGAAGAATTAACGCTACTGTAATCATTTTCAAACATTTGTACCAAATCACTTAGTTCAATGTAAACTTTGGAACTAGGCTGTAAATTGTTGGCTGACACAGCATAGAAACTACTGCTGGAGCATCAGCAGTTCTGGTGTAGGCAAAATGGAGAAAAGGGACTGGATGGTACTATGATTATGTAATTTTATGTAACTACTGTATTGTACTTTCACTGGGCCAGAAAGTTGCATAGCAAGAGGCTCAAAATAAGTTACAAAGGGAGTACATTGATCATTATTTGGTGATGGATTAATCTAAGAGAAGTCTGTTAATTTGTCACGTGTGCAAAACAGTTGTATAATATAATATGTTTAACATGAAGGTAATGAAGAACTTTGTACAGAATGTTATACTGTGTGTGGTTTTATTACAGACACATTAGCAAGTTATACTTAATGGCCACTTTATTAGGTAAACCTGTTCAACTGCTCATTCATGCAAATATCTAATCAGCCAATCAAAATGCAGTTAACCTGCTGAGGTTCAAACCAAGCATGCGAATGAGAACAAAAGTGATTTCAAAAACTGCTGATCTATTGGGATTTTCCCCACATAGCCATTTTGAGAGTTTATAGAAAAAAATGTTCCAAAAAAGAGGAAGTATCCAGTGAGTGGCAGGTCTCTGGGTGAAAATGATCCCAGAGATCAGAGGAGAATGCCCAGACAGGAAGGCAAGAGTAATTCAAATAGTCATTCGTTGCAACCAAGATGAGCAGAAGAGCATCTCTGAATGCACAACATGTTCAATCTTGAAGGTGGTGACCACCTGAAGTCTCACTTCCGTGAGCTAAGAACAGAAAACTGATGCTAAAATTCACATAGGCTCACAAAACTGGACAATGATATACTGGAAAAGCATTCTCTGGTCTAATGAGTCTCATTTTCTGCTGAAAAAAATCACATTTGCAAAATGAAATAGAAAATGGTTTCATGAACATGAAAACACTAAACTCAAATGGCCTCCACAGTCACCAGATCTCAATCGCTCAGTCTTAACAGAGCACCTTTGAATGGTGGAATGGGATGTTCAGAAATTCCGAGACAAATCTGCACCAGTATGGACAATGGAAACATTCCTCAGAGTAGTATTTCCATGGTCCATTTTGACACAATAGCACCTTGTTGAATCTATGCCATGAAGAAATTAGGCAGTTCTGAAAGCTAAAAGGGGGTCCAACCACATACTAGCTTGGTGTAACTAATGTAGTGTCCGGTGAGTGTATACGAGTCATTGTTTTCACCGCATGCATGCTTATACTCAGTGCTACCAATAACGCTGCAGGACCATGAACCTTTAATAAACCGCAACATTATTACATGCACAGGAAAGCTAAACGGGAGAATAACATTTGTTTTTGTGAATGCTGAAGCAAGTTATTCAAACCCTATAAATCACAGCCAGCCTTCAGTAATGCTGACATGCATGTGCATTATTTTCACTCATTAACTAATGTATATAATTATGTGTAAAAGGTGATAAATAATTGCTAGTACAGTAACCTTATTATAAGCCATGCCTTTATAACATCTTAGTTACAAATTTGCTGAGATCTACATTAAAATTATTTTTGGGATTATTTTCAGTAGATTTTCTCACTCTGTAACTGCTTTTCTATTAAATCCACAACCTGTTCATTACTTTTAGTTACATGGTATGGTGATGGTACGAGAGGCTTATTCCTAATACTATAATCGTTTTACGCACAGAATGTATGAGAATAAATATGATAGTCTGGACTTTCCTTACCTGTTTAAATGACTTCCCACAAGTCTCACAGATTAAGTAGGTCAATTGAAATGCTGATTAAAAACCAGTGAACTTTGTTTGCATTTGGAAACAGATGCTTTATTTCAGCAAAACCAAATCATAACAAAACAAAAATAGACTCTTAGTTACAATATACAACATGCTAGCCGTGCATCACAGACAGTCGTGGTTACTGTACTTCCTGTACTCTGCTGAAAAATACTGTACAGAACTCTGCTATAATAAATTTTACAAAAAAAACTAATTAGGATTTTCACATTATGCTTGAAAACAACTTAAAGTAACATGTTTTCATAAATACTGCAAATCAGAGCCATCAGTAACACTGTTAGATCCTTATTCCGTGTGAGTACACTTAATTCCTCATGCACTGTATGTGAGAATTATTTCAGAAGGAAAACAAATCTATGATTTTAAACACAATGTCTGCAGCATGAGAGATTTCCTGCAGAAATGAAAGCTGTAGATGATAAAGTACGTTGTAAAGAAATAGTCCTGGTATGTGGGAAATTTTTCATGTCAGGGGGGTTTGTTCACTTAAAGCACTATATATCATTAGACCAGAGGATTTATGATCTTGCCCAGCATAAGGATGGAGTTAGAATTTCCTTCTACAACAGAAAAAAAGAAAGGCCTGTTAATGGACAGCTTCAGAGGGACACCCTCTTCCTGTGTCTGGTCCTGAGGTTCTGCTCCTTCCTCTGACATCTCAAACAGCACTTTGTTGATGGCCTAAGAGGAGACATGAAGGTCTATTAATGTCTCATAAATATACAGAGAGTGATTTTTATATTATGACAAGCTGACTACTCAGGCTGACCTTATCTATGGTGAAGGGTTTGGTGTTGCTGAGTTGGCCGAAATCTGCCTCGGAGCCGAACAGTTTGGCATCGATTTCAGGATTCACGGTAGTCAGCAGGTCACGCAAATCAGTCACAGAGGACATAGAGAACTTGGGGAGTGACAGCTCCAGGAGACTGGAAGCGGGAGACAGAGTTTATAATGAGTGTGTTTTTTGTTTTGTTGTTGTTTTTGTTTTTTGTTTTTTAAATTTTAACAGTATTGGACCTGAACCTAAAAATCCATAGCTTTTTTTTTTCTCCTATTTTGATCTTTTGAGTTAAAAACAGCATATAGGCACTACGTTTCTGTTCAAAAAAACAACAACCGTTCAAGGTCAAAGTTTATTCTAAGTCTAGTACTAGTAAAGTTCAATAATCACCCTTCCTGAAGGTTTTGGTGCCAGTCAGAAATTATGTCTGTGCGCAGCTTTGACTCCACATCACCGAGTTTAACCCCCTCATGAGGCAAGACCAACAACATGTAGGAGCGTTTGCTCAGAGACAGCTTCACAATGGTGCATTGCCGCGCCTTCAAAATAAAAGAACAAAAATATTAGAGTCAGGTCGCTATGACTTTAACAAGCTAAATCCACCAACTTGTTATTAATCTTTGTTTCTTAAATACAAAGATTTACCTTATCGTTGAAGTAGTGATACTGACCCGTGTGGGTCATCAGTGGAGCCATTACTGTAGTTGTTTGATCCACATGAAACTCCTTCAAGGTCGTTTCCTCTGGTTGGAAAGCTTTCTTCCAGTTTCCTAAAGAGACGAAACCAAACACAGATTCGAATTTTCTATATACGATAAAGACATTTTTAATGTGAGAGATTTAAGCAAAAGTCTGAGGAAAGGAAATGCTCCATGATGAAAAGGCTGAGACTGTGGCCCATCGATATCTCTATGGTACAATCAGCATTGTTATTTGTGAAGTTTGGCATCTGGATCAATGCACATAAAGCTGGTAATTAGAGTCACGATTAATAGAACTGCAAAAAGTTATATATTTATAGATTAGTGCCATACATAATGTACCAGGGTTGACAAGCTGGTGTAGGCTGCAGAAAGCTAGTTTGAACTTTTAATTGTGAATTCTAATCTACGTACTTTGTATAATCAACTTAACAGAGACAGACCTTGGAAGTTGAAGGAGGTGATGAACAGAAGGTTACTGGTGGCATTCAGATCTTTGAAGATGTCCTTCACCTTCCTATCTGACGTCATCTCCACAAAGCTGTTGACCAGCTGCTCTGCTTCCTGAGGTTTGGAGAAGTCCACACCTCGGATAAACGACGTGTCTGACAAGTCCTGTGTGCCTTGAATAAAGTCCTCGGACAGCTGAGCATCCTGACGAGTGAAGGCCCAAACCTGGGTAGTGATTTCATCTCTGGGTCCATCGTCCACTAGAGAATTAATGCCCTGCAGGGTCTTAAGAACTTTGTGTCCATCCATTAAGGACACGCAGTCCTTTCCATCAGTATCCCTACTCAGGCCTAGTAGAAGCTGGATAGAAAGAAATGAATTGAGGTTGTTTACTTCTTTGTAGAGTGAAAGTACAAGACATAATCAAATAATCAGATGGATGGTCAGACAGATAGCCTAGGCTCAGCAGGTTCTACTTCAACAGTGACAACAAAAGTAAATAAATACCTGGAATGAACCGGCTGTCTTCTTGGAGGCTCCCAGGTAGAAGGTGACCAGGGATCCAAAGGTGTTGACTGGAGATAAGAGCGTGTTAGTGCTGTGCTGCTTGCTGCTGAGAGCCTGGTACATCCTCAAGCCTAGAGCATTTAATAGCGCTGCCAAAACTGCTGTCCTCTCTGTGATGTTTTGCCTCTGTACATCAACTTTTGATGGATCCCTGTGGTCTGGTGTCAAGACTTCATTGTCAAGGGGAGCCACAGGAAGTGTCTCCAGAGGCTTAACCGTGGGGGCCTGCAGGGACTCACAGCTGACATTCTCGGCAGCAAAAAGATAGAAGGGGTGAACGTAGACTCGGTTGGCTTGGCTTCCTGAGAGGCAGCAGTATAGTAGGAGGACCAGAAGAGGTGACCAGAGTCTCTGCATTTTACCTTTGGTTGGAAGTTACCCTAAAATAGTTGTCTCTGTTGGTGGGGGAGACACATATTTAGTTAGTTCAACCTCAATCACCTCAAGTATAACTGACCATTTTCTGTATCAGCCTGGTTAGGAGAGCGCTGAGTTTGACGTCTTCTGGGAATGTTACGTGACTTTTTCAACAGCTTTCATCACAAATCAGGCTCAATCTGGTTTTCAGCTTGTATATGATTGGCTGGCAGGAACACTGGATGTCAGAGATTGATTGAATTCTTTGTGCGCTTTCTCTCCTGCTGGTCAGTGAGTGAGAGCAGACATTACCCTCGGCAACAGAGGTCGCGTAGATAATGAAGACGTGTTTGTGTGTGTGTGTGTGTGTGTTTTTGTGTGTGTGTGTGTGTGTATTTGCATATGTTCACTGACCCAAATAAGATGGGAAACTTTGTATCCTATAAAAATTTATCTTGCAACGACAGGTACAAACTTAGTGTGCTTAAAATAAATAAAACAACTTATTTATATGTTGTTACTAACTTATTTGTGTGTTTACATAACAAGTCTATTAAAAAAACCATATAAAAAAACCCAAAACACATAGAATGAAAGAATCAATAGAAGTACAAAACAAACTTTCACAGCTGTATAAATGCATAATTTATTTTATAGGTCCAATTTTACT